AAGAGCGAGTCACATCCTCTGTGTCACCCCACATCCTGCCCACACTCCAGACATGCAGGGAAACTTATCATCCGTCACTGTGCCGCAGCCCTGGCCTCCAGGGCCCCTCCTCCCTGTCTGGGCACAGGACTCGCTGCAGCAGCCAAGAAAGGAGACGGCGGAGCACACACACCGTCTCGGCTCCTCTGCTCATACCCGGCTGGAGCAAAGGCGTCATCCATCACCTCCCTGAGCCATGCTGCACACCAGACCTCAGATGGCAGAGGCACACATCTTTGTGCTGTACCACTTGCTGAGGATGAAGGCTTTCTAATCTGGCCCGCTTCAGACGCTGCAGGGGAAGAGCAGCGGCAGCACGCAACCCACCAGCTCACCGTCCCTGGGGTCAGTAGTCATCAGGGGAGGGCATGGCACATGGGAAGCCCTTCAGCAGTGTCAAGCGGACGCAACCGGCCAAAACTGTTCCCCCTTGGCAGAGCCAGGATGATAAGTAGGTTGAACCCATCACTAAGCCACTTATCATAGATAAACTTCAAAGAATAGGAACTCCTTTGGTCTCCAGCATGCCGAGGGAGGAACCAGGGAAGCTGGGAAGACCCACAGCATTCCCACCTAATGCCAGACACTGACCATATCGCTGAGCGTGGTATCTAAATGCTGCAGGCACAGCATGGGAGCCTGCTAAGGCAAGACCAACAACAGGCTGGAGTTTAAGCTATTCATTTTAAGGGATGACATGCATCCCCTGGGACAACCTTGGCTTCTGCTGCAGCAGAAAGAGGTGGAGCAACTCCCTTCTGCTCAGGCGTTGCCCTCCCACCAAGAACCCCCCACGGAGAAGGAGGAAGAGTGGTTGGGGTGCAGCAAATGCCAAACATTCCCACTCCAGGGAAGCCACGTCCCTCCCTCCCACTCCCACTGCCTTTTCTGCAAAGCAAAGCTTGATGCTTTCGCACGCACGCTTGCCCGGGCTCTCCAGCCTTGGCCACCTTGCTTCACCAGGGTTTAAGCCTGTGATTTACAAGAGATGTTAAGACTCCTAGAGAGTCCCTGGCTTCAGGGCTGCTCCTCAGCCCTTCCCTGGAAATCCTTGTTTCTCCAGGTGACAGCAGAATCACGCCCGGACAAGTGGAGCTGGACAAAGCAGGCAGTTCTCTGCTGGGTGCTACTTGCCGAGACACGCACCTCTGGGCATCCCCTTCTCCAGCCTCCCATTCCCATCAGGCGCTTCAGGCTCCTGGTGGCTACTCTCATTGCAAGAGGCCAGGAGGTTCCTCGTGACAGAGGGGTGGGCGTAAAGGCTCTGGTGAAATGGCCCTTTGGGAAACCCTGGCCTCCATCTGATTAGATACAGGCGGCCCAGGCTTCCAGGAGCAGCAGGTTAATCAGTTAATGGCTGAAAGGATCCTGGGCGATGTGCTGTGCATGCTGTGGGGCAGCCCCAGCCGCACAGCCCCTGGGGCAGCCACTCCTTCCTCGCTGGGGCCAGATCTGGGAAAACATCTGTTCTGATAAAGAAAGTGCTTCACCGGGGAGGGGGCAGGCCCGAGCCCATCAGCTGCTCCAGCCCACTGACAACGGTCTGCTCCAGGGGGGCTGCCAGTTTTCCCACCACACCCAGGCCATGGCAAGGGCCAGACACTGGGTTTAATGGACTGGAAACCAACCGGGGTTGGGGGGGGGGCGGGATGTCTGATGCCCCTGGCCCCAAACAGGGGGCTTTCAGAGCTCAGCCATGGACCTCAGGATGGCCCCATCTCCCCACAGTGCCTACTGTGCCCACTGCCAGTGCCACGGGCACCCGCTGTCACCCACGGGGCCAGCAAGGGCTGCCCCAGCCTTGCACCCACCTGCCCCTCACAACCAAAGGCAGCATCAGGCTGGGCTGGAAACCTATGCATGCTCAGGCAAGGAAGGAGGCAGAGAGAATTTCGGGGGGTCTGAGGTGTGCATGGCACCGGGGGCTGTGTGTTTTGGCTGCACATCACTTCCCCCGCCCCGGGCAGCGCAATGCCCCACACGGCTGTTGAAAACACCCCAGGAAAGGGCACTGCAGGTGCGCGTGGGACCAGAGCCCACGTCTACCGGGTATGAGCCTGGCTCCGGAGGAGCCCGTTCTGCCCGCCAGCGTGAAGGTGACTGGGCAGAAGCACCGGGGAGGCAGAGGACTGAGGCGGACGCTCCCTCCCGTTGCACGCTTCCCAGTTCCACACCGGCTCGGCTCTGGCCCGGTGCCACCCGTCTCTGGGCAGCCATGACTATCATGCGACAAATCCTCTCCTCCTGCAAGCAGCCCTCAGCCTGAAGTGCTGGAACCGCACATCACTCGGGCTCTGGCTCCCGTAACCCGTTCAGCTCCTCACAAGGGCTGCCCGGTGCCGCGCTGGGCCTGGGGAGCGCTCGGGGACAAACCCCGCCGCATCTCAGCGCTCAAGAAAAAGTGCAACCGGGACTGCCC